ACATACTGCAAAGAGGTGAAATTGAAAATTGGTTAACATCTGGAAAAAACCCTGTGATAATGAAATATCCAGCAAGAGGGGAAACACCAGGCAACTACAAGCCAATTACCTCCTTACTAACAATTTTCAAATTGCTGATGCAGTTGATCATTGCAGTTCTTGAAAGAGATGAGTTCACTTTTTATTCTTCCGGTAACATGTAAATACATCAAACGTGGTAAATTCCTACTTTCATTGAGCTGTTTAACCTGTTTCCAGAGGCATCATACCTATTTAATCAGTTTCTTGAGTATGGCTGTAACATTTTGGCATATGTGATAACATCTTGAAATGAAAAGACGTTTTACAGTGAAGCTAATGGTGAGAACCTCACATTTATCCTTGTTTTTAAAAGGTTCCATATTTTATCTTATACTGTAATATAAAATTTTAAATTATTTTGTTTCTGTATATCATAAATACATATACATGAATACATATAAACACATAAATACATGTTATCATATATCATAAATAGTCCATAGTAAATTACATTCCCTATCATGGTCCACCAACTGATGCTGTGGGAATATTAGCATGGTGTCTGGAAGCTGTGGAACCTTGGATGGGGAAAATGGGCTTTAACTCAATTCTAACAGGACTAAACTTTTGTTTAAGACACCCTGTATGCAGTAATTTTCCATCTCTAGTTCTGTATTGGGTTGCACTACACTAAACAGAACAGGGGTATAATTTGGGGACCTGACTTCAAGGAACAGCTGTGGCTAGAAAGGCCTTTGCACAACTTCACTTGTGTGTTAATTGCACTCTTTCCTTGGTCTGAGTGGCATTGCTTGACCATTTTTCAAGTGGATTAATGTAATGTCCTCTATATGGAGCTGTCCTTGAAGAACATTTGAAAACTCCAGCTAGTTCAGAATGCAGCAATGTAGGGAGTTAAAAGTATGTCTCGGTGTGTCCATTGTTACTGTACATCTCTGCTCCTCAAGCTGCATCGGTTTCTAGTATGTTTTGGGATCAATTCAAGGTGTCGGTTGCTACGTATAAAGCTTTGCGTGACAAGGGAATGGGGTTTTTGCAAGTCAGCTTCTCCCCAATTGTTTCTACTTATTCCATCAGATGCAGCAAGATGATGTGGGTTCCATCAATTAAAAAATATCATTTTATGGGACCCAGAAAGCAGTCCTTTCTGTCCCAGCACTTGTCCTTTGGAACAGCATGCTTCCCGAGATTGAATTCATCCCAAATCTCTTGGCTTTTCAAAAAGCCATAAGACCTATATGTGCTCCTGCATGGTGTGTGTGTGTGTGTGTGTGTGTGTGTGTGTGTGTGTGTGTGTCAGAGGGTTTATTGGAGCCTTTGGGGCATTCTTAGTTTGTTAATTTTTAAAAATCTTGACAGTCATTATAACTTTTATATATTAGTTTTTGTTTTTTGTCGTTGTTTTACTTTCTTTTATATGTCATTAGCTGCCCAGAGTCACAGTGGTGATATGGGCATACGTGTAAATATAATATGATGGTAATGATGATGATGGTGGTGGTGGTGATAGTTTCTGTATGTTTTTAAGACTTCCCTGAAATTAAGAAATTAAGAAAGCAAAGCTCATTAGATGTACTACTCTTCATCTCAGGCATAGGGAGTTCTAATTTTTTTTTTTAAATTAATAAATCCGATTGACTATCTGAAGTGATAGAAATTATTTTTTCTTATAATTCTTAGTCTTCATGCATAGATTTGGCTGTTGTGACTTACTTCATATTCAACCTACTATCATGCTGTCATGATTGGAATTATTAACAGCCATTTGAATTTGACACTATTCATTCAAGACATTTGCAATGAGTATTGTCATGTAAATCATGATCATGGAAATAATTTTAACCTCAAAGGATAAATATTTACTACATAGAATTTATTTTTAGCATTGTCCAAATAATATAATGCATATCTTGATTTTCTCTTCGATTTTCCAAAACTCCTATGTAAATATTAATTTTCATAGCTTTTCAAAATGTATGCATTATCATATTAAAGTCTGTCTGACTACATAAAGACTGTGCTGCGATTTCATGGATATGAACAAACAGCAACCTGTGGCTTTGGCTTGCAATTAGATGTTGCAATTTTGTTGTTATCATTGTTTTTATTAAACAGCTGGATTATCTGAGAGACTGCCTCTGTCCTGTGATTTCTGCCTGGCCAATACGATAGAACAAAGTGGGCATGCTCTGAGTCTCCTCAGTTAAACAGTGTAACCTTTTGGGACTCAGGAAGCATGCCTTCTCCATAACATCTGTCCCATCTAGAAGGAGTTTTTCCTAAGATCTGAGAACTCCCCTCCTGATGATGTTCTGGGAGGCCTTGAAAATCTGGTTGTTCTCCCAGGCCTTTGGGTAGGGTGATGGATGCCTCTGTTTAAAATACATGTTGCCTGGATCGACATTATAAAACAAGCATTTTGTAATTGTTTTCGATTAATTGTGTTATATTCTTATTTATGTGTTGTTTTTATGCCATTTTTTTTCACTTTGTGAGCTGCCCAGAGTTGCACAGCATTAAAATTGAATTAATGAAAAAATAAAGTAAATTTCTATATTTGGGTAAACATACTTCAGAGTCAAAACATTGGCCAGATAGGATTTTCAGCTTATGGGAGTTCAGGATTCATTATCACTCTTTGTATCTGTCCTTCATTTAGGATGGTGGTGGGGGAAGTAAAATAAATGGTTCACAGGAAAGTAAATCTTGATGAAGCTGTTCAATTTTAGTATTTTTTCTTGGGGAATTAAGATTTTCTTATTGCAACACTTAGCTCTATTTTCATTTTAACCTTCAAACTGGTTCTGGTTCTGCTGATTCTATTAAAATGTTATTTTATTGTTTGTTAATTGTTGCTTCCTGTATTTCATAAACTTTTGTTGCACACACGTACTTTTTGTTTTGAGCTGCTAGAATATTAGTATTTACACTGAGCAGCTTGGGTTTACTTCTATTATTTTTTGGGACAGTATATAAAAGCAAATCAATTAGTAAAACAAAATATTGTATTTGAAATTTATGCAAAGATGAAAATGAGAATTTGATAAATGATAAATTTATGGTAATAGAATATTGTAACCAGATATGTGCTGCTTAATATATCTTTTGAGCTAAATCCTTGTGTACTTATTTACATTGGAATTGTGTTTGGGAAAATCAAATTGCCTGGCTTGACCTAATTCCCTGTTATTCTCATTGTTGTTGTTGTTGTTTACAACTCAAACAATACATAATCTCAGTTTACAGATTTAATATAAACAGTTAACAATGTGACTTCAGAAAGATTTACACCGATTCAAGGCAAAATGCAACCAACCTAACAGTTCCAGTTCTTTTTACCCCTATTCACTCAAAATTAGTTTGTATACAAATGTTTAGGTTTATTACTTTGATGGATTCTTTGAATGAACAGCTATTATTTATCTTTTGCTATTAACACAATGTTCATTTGACTTAACATCACATCATATTTTCAGATAATGTGCATCAAATATCGCACAACCATCTAATGAGAGATTAATTAAAGCACATGCTTATCCCAATGCCCATATTTAGGTGCTGTCTGTTGATAACACTGATTTTATACTAAGGCAGAGTGTACTATCCATAGGCTATACTTTGGGACATTACAAAGTAGTAAAGAATACTGTAGTAAGAGGTATTATTTATTGCAACGAACAAGGTCATACATTGCAGAAAGACTCTGAGGAATTTAAGGAACTGTATGTGATTGTAGTGCATACTATTCTTATGATTTCCCATCTCCCAAGAGCAGGTGAAAGTGGTAAACTTCTGAATTCCATTCAGTTTACAAAAAATTTTTGGTATCCAGGCTTCTATGTTTTTTTTAAATATATATTTTTAAAAAGCTCATTGATTCCTTTTCTAATGCAGTACCTGCTTAGCTTGGCCAAAGCACACAGAAATCCTCTCTGTTATTTCCATACAATTAAATTTCATGTGCTTGTGGCACATTTTTAAAATGTTGCCTGTTTTGAAAGTTTACAGCAGTATAGTAGTTTACAATTCACACCTTTTCTTACAGTAAGTCCATGTCTCCAAAGGAATTAGTAAAACAATTAACTTCTCATGTATGCATGTGATTTTGTTTTCAACTTTTTAAAATATAATTTATTCACATATTAGATTCTGTAATTTGTAAGTTACATCTTTAAAATGATTGGCTTGGTTTGGCTAGCTATTCAGTATGATAGAATCTGTTGTCTTTGTTTTATATATATATGAAATGGCTGCCAGATTCTGCATGAACATTCACAAAATACTCATTTATAAGAAGGCAAACTTGTGTGGTTCTTTCCTCGCAGTCCTCTATTCCTACCGGATTATACCTTCCAATCCTTTATCTACTTTTTGGGAAGGCATGCATAATGGCAAATTAAACACTGAGCTGCAGATATGTACCATTTTACTTTCTAAGAATGTCTACGTGGTTTATATGAACCGAGATAAATTGCTGAAAATAAAGGTGTTGCTGGTGGCTGATGCATTGTAGTTTAGCTTTATTAATTGATTGATTAATTGCCTATCTTTATTATTTTTACAAATGACTGAAGCTGGTGAGCATATCCAGCACATCTTCCTCCTCCTATTATCCTTATAACAACAACTCTATGAAGTGAGTTGGACTGAGAGAATGACTGGCCCATACTCATTCAGTTGACTTTCATTGCTAAAACAGAACCTGCTCATGGTTTCCCACTTTCTAACTTGATACTTTAACCACTAAACCAGTTGCTATTAAAACAGGTGGTTTTTTAAAAACATAGATAGGTAGAGAATTTGAAGTGAGCCAAGGAAGAAGACTTATAGGCATCAGTGTTCATGGCACAAGTTGTCTATCCCTGTGTTCGATAATTATTTTTACTGTTATTTAAAATAATCAAGTTGTATAAGGGTATCACAAACCTTATTATAAGGCATCTATTTACTTTACTTAGGGTCAAGTTATGTTCAGAAATGGAGAGAGGATGGGGACCATCAAATTCACACAGTTTCAAGGTAGGTGACAGATATTTATTTATGCCTTGTACCTATATTATTATGACTGTGGATTTCAATTTGAAGATATAGTATACTTTGCTTTGCTTTATACTTTATGATGACGTGAAAGTAAAAGAATATATGTCAATAAAATTTAGTGCATTACACAGCAATAAAGGAATATCTTTAAAAAAATAAATAGGATCATTTATGTTAGAGACTGAATTTTTTTTAATGATATTAAAGAATAGAAATATCGTAGGCTAATCTTTTTTTTATTCTTTCTGAAAAGTGAAATAGAATTTGCAATTTAGAATATTGCTTTAATAGAATTTCTTCCTTTCCACTTCTGCATCCTCCTTCCTCTTCCTTTTGCCTTTCATTTAAAACAATGACATATTTTGATAGCCAAATATTGATGAAAATTGTACTAGTACAATGGCTTGGATTCATTTTAGCAAGAGTATATATTCAAGAGAAGATACATAATTTAAACCTGACACTTTCTAGATGTGTTGGAATTGGAGCATCAAGATTTCGCAATGTATTTGGATGGCATTAGTTTGGCAAAAGTTGCCTTAAATTATCCCATTTGTGGAGGGTTTATTATAATCTTATATAATATAAGAATCATGCTTTTAATGTGCTACATTCCTGTGACATGTTTAGAAAATGTACTATATAGATCATATAGAACTGCAGATTTTAAAAAATGATTAACAAATAATTAGCATTATCAGATAGAAAACTAGACTTATTAAATAAAATGTAGGAATGGAAAGGATTAAAACTTCAGTTATCCATATTACAACTGAAAAATTAATTTAATTATATTTGAATATTTCCACGAATGAATTATCTATGTCCTTTTTGAGCTACTAAAGAATTATTGAATTGACTTAGAATTATTAAGCAAAAGTGTATTTACTGTATTTTTCACCCCCCAAAAGAGGGTGAAAATCTGAGTGCGTCTTAAAATCTGAATGTAGACCCACCCAGCCTTTCAAACGGAGGTTTCAGAGGCTGAAAAAAGCCTCCAAACAGAGCTTCAGAAAAAAAAGCCTCAGAAAGGAAGCTTCAGAAAAAAAGCCTCCAAACAGAGCTTCAGGAAAAAAAGCCTCAGAAAGGAAGCTTCAGAAAAAAAGCCCCCGAAACAGAGCTTCAGAAAAAAACACCTCTGAAACTATGTTTCAGGGGCTTTTTTTCTGAAGCTCTTTCGGAGGCTTTCAGAGGCAGAAAAAACAGTTTATTCTGAAACAGAATTTCAGAAGTTTCAGAGGCTGGAAAAAAAAGCAAGGCACAGAGCTCACAACCAACAAACCTGTTACTAAAATACACCTCTGGGAACAGCTGATTGGGGGTATTCCGGGAAGCCAATCCACCCACCAATCAGCTTTTTTCTTATTTTCCTCCCCAAAAACCAAGGTGCGTCATATACTCTGAAAAATACGGTAATGAATTATTTTTTAAAACTCATTGATAAGTTTCTTTATTTTATTCTATTTCTATAGCCACCGATCTCAGCAAAAAGTCTGGATGGCTCACAATTGAAATCACGTATTACAGTTAAAATCTTAAAAATATTTTAAAATAATAAAAACAATAAAAACATTAAAAAGGTCATTTTCTAGTCTCTGTCAGCCAACATTCTTTGGCTGATGGGATCTGCAGCATGCGCATCCTATCTGATCTGGTTGGAAGGATAGAAACACTGGAAAAAAGGTGATCCTCAGGAACCCTGGTCCCAAGCCATGTAGGGCTTTATAGGTAACCACCAGCACCTTGAATTTCATCTGGAAAAACACACTAGTGTAACTCATGCAGGAGTGATGCTACATGTGTCATATATCTGGCACCAGTTACTACCTATGTGACTGCATTCTGCACCAATTGAAGTTACTCAACACAAACAAAAGTTAACACAGTAACAGCAATTTTGTACTAAACAGAGACTAAAGATTTCTCAGTAAAGAGGGCAGGAAGTAAAAGAGAAGATGGTGGACTGAAGATGGTGGAACCAACATTTGTGACCCAATGAGCATATTGGTTCCTTCAACCCTCTCTGAATAAACAGAGGAAACCCAAGCTGTTCTCCTTGCAGTTATTCCTCACAAAGAGACCACAAGACCGCAGCCTTGGGAGACGGGATGGGGTGGGGAAATCATGAGACAAGAGAATTTGCTATCATTGCTCCAGCTGCAAATGGTGCTTTTTCAAAGGGCAGTAAGTTTGCTCTTCCCTTGCTACCACTTTCAGAAATTGCCTATTCACTTCTTCAAAGAAGTTAGACATCCTGAAAGTGGCAAGATTGCAAACACTAAGTGAATGCCCTCATGTCCTTTATATTAAAAAAATGAAGATTTATCATTATAAACTTTAAGAATTTGAAATAAACAGCAAAAACCAAGACAGAGTTTTGGCCTAAAAGCATTAAGAGTTCAGACAATATTGGACTAACGGATTTTGGATATTAAGTCTGAAAATAATCTTAAAGAATAAATGCATTTGGGGGGGAGGGAAGAAAAACTGTTTTTGATATTGGAGACATAACAAGACACGTAATTTATAATGGCATTCAGATATCTTTGAGGAATTGCACCCAGAACTGCACTGGGGCTTTCAATCAATTATGTCAGCAATAATGTTTCTTGTGAGGAGCAATCCATTTGAAGAAAAATACACAATAAAATCTAGCTGAAAACAACACAATCAAGACTTTGAATTGGTCATCAAATATAAAGAAAGAAATGAATGAGGCTTTAAAAATTAAGAAAGACATAAAAATGACAATTCCAGAGAGGAACAATTTCTTTTTGTTACCCTGTTTCCCCGAAAATAAGACATCCTCTGATAATAAGCCCAATCGGGCTTTTGAGCGAATGCGCTAAAATAAGCCTCCCCCCAAAAATAAGCCCTCCCTGAAAATATTTAAACACAAAGCTGGAAATCAGGGAAGACAGCAAGAGGAGCCCCATCTTGCTCCATGCACCCCAAAATAATAAGACCTCCCCGAAAATAAGGCCAAGCGCTTATTTCGGGGTTCAAAAAAATATAAGACAGGGTCTTATTTTGGGGGAAACACAGTAGACTTACAAAGGAGACTGTTTAAATTATTGAAAAAATTCATAACAAGGATCAACATTCATCTGAATAAAGAGAAATACTGTATTTTTTAAAAAAGGAATACAAAGTTGGTTTATAAGATCAGGTTAAAATGGGACGTTATTTGTCATTCTTTTTAGAGGCTGATGTCTGGACTGGAAAAATGCGGCATATTGGATTTGCAGACATTTAATATGATGTTTTTCTCCCTACAGTTACTTTATGTACCGTAATTGGATATTTAAACTGGCTCTGTATCTAATTATCTTTTTACTTTAAGAAAGTTTTGTGAATTGGTTTTTAAAGGAGAAATTATCCTTCTTTGTTATGTTAAATTTTAGTCTTTTTTATGTTAGGATACTGGGATTACTTAATATTTTCTAAATGTGGATTTGTTTAGAGTTTAAAGTCGAGATATGGAAGTATCGAATTGGATATATTATTATTTGGGATAGTTTTCTTTGGAATTTTTGGAATTTTGGATGGAAAACTGAAGCTTGTATTTTTTTTTTTAAGGCAAAATGGTCCTGCTTTGTCATGTTAAACTTTAGTTTTTTGTTTATGCTAGGATGTCAAGACAACTTCATGCCTTTTAAATGGGGTCCGTCTTACTGCTAAGAATTGAGATGTGGAATGTTAAGTTTTATATATGTTAATTAATGTTGTTATTTTGCAGCTCTGTTTGAATTTTTGCTGATAATTGGATTGTAAAAGATGCCACTTATTTTATTTGTCCATTGTTAAGAGATGGGTAATGGAATGAAGAGTTATATATTTGTTAATTAAGAGGAGGTGATGAGATTATGAAATTGATTATACATAGGATGAGGGTGAGAAGCTGCTTTCTTAGGGGAATTCTTTTTACTTTTTTTGCTTTCTTACAGTCTTTTTCTTTTCTTTTTTTACTTTGTGTTATCTTTTATTGTTGGAACTAAAGCTTTTTAATAAATATTAATAAATTTGTAAATAAAAAATAAAGATCGTAGAAAGCAAGGCAGAAGGCACTCTATAAGCACTAGGAATAAGGCTTACATTAACCCCAGGTCTATTGCCGACTGTTTCTCTACCTATTCGGATAAAAAAGGATACTGTTCTCAGTACAACGCCAAGTGCATTATGTAGCTGAATCTATATAGGTACCCACATTCTATAATAACATGATGAATTTCACTGTCTCTAAAGAAACAAGCTGAAGAGACCCTTCCTGATTTTGCATCGTCAGATTTCTGTGAGGATAAGAAGCTACTGAATTATGAATCAGAGTATGAAGCAAGGCTAAATCCTTTGGCCAAAAGTGACCTTCCCATGAAAACTCTTTATTGAGATCACTTACTCTATTATCATCACAGAAATCCTAACATCCAGACCTTTTCCTATAAAGCAAGTAAGAAATCAAACCAAGAAAGATTATTCCAAGTTTCAGCTCACATGAGCAACGGATTTGCTTTTAGGGCGTGCTAAGCTATTGCATTAATTTATGAGAATGAAAGCAGAATCTGCTTTGCCAAATGATGAAAGAGTTCGGACAGAGAAATATATTTTCTTATGTTTTTAGTTTTATTCAGAGTTTGAAATGTGTCCAAAAGCAAATCTGCAGCTAGCAAATAAGGGGAAGTCTTCATGTGATTGTGTCTTTTAAGTTAAGGATAAGGACTAATATGTAAGGTTTGAAGGCCTCTACTCCAAAGTTCAGTTCTCAATGTCTCCTCTCCTAATTATCAGAAACAGCAGGAATATCTGAAATCAATATTCTTCCAGATCCTACCTCCTTGGTTGTTTGCAAGCCCAGTCCAGTTTGGTCATTCAATGGTATCCTTCAAGGAAGGTAGAGTAGAAAAATTACTTGCATGTACTCCAAATGAAGCATTTGCAAAGTTGGCTCTGTCAGGAAAGACCTGCTTGAAAGCCATCTTTGT